CCCACCTGAAATTCCTGAAATGACCTGAAGTGGCTGAAAAAACAGGCAGAAAAAAAAAAAAAAAAACATAAAACTTGTCCTCCAAACCACATGAAACTTCTGAAATGACCTAAAGTGTCTTCAGGTCATTTCAGCGGTTTCAGACCACTTCAGAATCTTTCATTCTGAAATTTCAGATGGTCGTGAACAGCGAGTGACCCTGCACATTCCCTTGCATGTGTCGCATGATTGTTCTCACCTAGCTTGGTCTCTCTAAGTTGGACTCTCCCTTGGTATCGCATAGGCATTGGGACCGTAGCGTTATCTTGGCTTCCCTGCTCCCAAATCTAGCTCCCTCCCTCTGTCGGTGAGTTGTGTGCTTGTTTCCCTCACCCACTATATCCTTCATCACCCTAGTGTCGGCTATTCCATGCCTTCTGTTCGGGATATGTCCACCCTATTTCAGACTTCCTTTTCATGGTCGACCCTGCATGGTGTCACCCTTTCGTCGAGCATTACCCGCCTTGATGGTCTATTTGTTGGGGTCATTGGTTTTGCCTCGCTACCACTCCCTCACCCTGAGCCTGATGACTTATCCCACCTTCGTGTGTAATTGCCCTTAGGAGTTTCGATTCTTAGGCTGCATTCAACCCCTTTCAGACCATCCCACTCTTAATGGTTCAGCGACATGACATTACTTGTGACATATTGTTTTTTTTTTCCTATCCGCACTGAGGCAATTGTCCCAAGACTTTAGGATTGTACCATGCTACATTTCACCTTCTACTGTTAGTTAGGATGTGTATACCAGACATTTGCTTTTCTTTCAAGTTTGACATTATGTAGCTTAGGCTGCATCGCATGGACTCCGCATGGAGCTTGCTCCGCATCCTAGATTTATCATCTTTCTTTATTGTAGAGTTTCACAACTTTTACGAATAACGTATTTATGGTTCTTGCGATCCACTACAGGTCTGAGGATCGTGCAACGGGCCTCTATCTGCCCTGACTGCATATCGAGTTTTTTGCCTGTTCGGCCTGTGAGACCAGGCCGTGGCCTGACCTCATAGGCCATGCGTTGTTCCAGTCCAGTCCAGTCCTGCCCGGTACCACTATCGATATCAAGCCACACCAGTTCAGTCCATTCATTCCGATGGGGGTAGAACCCAACAATTATCTGTTTTTGAGTCATTCTTGATTCTGCACATTTTGGAGTACGTGCGTGTTGAGTCCGCGTCGGAGTTGCGCTATCCCTTCCTTCTCCATCTCTATCTCCTCCTCCCTCAACCCTTCATCGTCATCCTGACGGACCGCCATCCTGGCGGGTCCGCCAAAACTGTCATCGTTGAGAATCCAACGAAAGAAGCCTTACAATTTTCGATAGTGCTTTGCTTGGAGCCTAGTCTAAAATTGTTATCGAACTGGTCGTTATCTCTGCTCCCTAATTATATGGAGGGGCCAATCCGCTCGACCAAGATAAAAAAAAAAAAATTGCTCTCTTTTAAGTGTTATGAGCGACAGAGTGCAAGACGTTCAATAAAAACTTCTCAATTCCCTACATGCGTTATAAAATGAAGAAGAATAAGTTGAAGCAATATGTTATCTGGAATATATTACGAACCTGAATTATGAACTACAAATAGTTCACTCAACAGAAGCCCACATTCGTAGATTTTGTAGAGCATCGAAGCAATCTCACCCATGCCTTACATAGGGAAGGACGGAGAACGACCCCCGTTCTTATACAACACAGTGAATTGTTGTGCCTCACGGCTAGCTGTATACGACACAGGATTCGACTAAATGTGACAATAATTTATATACTATGTAAAATGTCACCGAGCATTGGTCTTGTCTATATTCAACATAAGGTAGTGTTAAGCATAGTATCCAGCAATACGCACTATAACCGAAACATCAATTATGACAAGGAACAACCTAGTCGTTAAGCACCACGCATGATACAATACCTATAGTAAACCTGATCAGAGATAGTCTAACAGGTTGTGGCGATGGCGTCATGCTACAACTTTCATGATTAATCAAAATATCTGAAATAAAACAGAACTTAAATTAAATGATACCAATGCTTAATTAATTGGGAGGAATTTATTATTGATGTCCGGGCTCCCAATCCTTTGAGTGCTAAGTATGTGATTAAGGTCAACGTCAAGTGCTCATCCATAGATGAGATCAATCTCCAATCATACTCACTCATAGGTATCGAGCTTTGCCGTCAAATTCATTGGTGATACATCATCAGATCATATACGTATTAGGATTAAATGAGCCTATTTATAATTTACTAAGTCCACATCCTAAAGATTCAACTTGAATGCAAGACGACTTGCCTGCAATAAACTTGAGTCTAAAAAAATATTTTCAGAAATTATGCCTTAAAGCAGAGATATCAGGTGTAATATTCGTTAATGTTGTGGATATCCCCAGAGTATAACCTCACACAAGAAGCATTTATAGCCTTTTCATTATCTTTTAAGCCGAGTTGCACAACGTACACATACGCGGGGTTCGCGGACGTGCATACTCGTATGCACGTACGCGCATACGTACCGCATATGTGTGCGTGCGTACTAAAAAATGGGGCCCACGTACGTGGTCGTCACGGGTCATTTTTGTGTCCGTTTTTGGCCGTGGTACCAAGTGGGGGGACTTCAAGAGACTGGGGTAATGCGGGGAATGGGTCTGGTCTGGGGGTGCACCGTCATCACCCGAGAAGGAGGAGTTGCCATTGGTCGAGGAGGAGTCGCCATCGCCCGTCAGCATCACCCGTCGCCATCACCCGTCCTCATTGTCCGTCACCATCGGTTGTCACCATCACCCGTCGCCATCGCCATTGCCATTGCTCGTCGTCATCACTCGTCGCCATCACCCATTGCCATTGCCCGTCACTATCGCCATTGCCTAAGGAGGCCATCACCCGTCGCCATCGCCCGAGGAGGCCATCGCCCATCGCCATCATCATCGCTCGAGGACATAGAGCGCAAATGGGTAACCGTTACCGATACCCGACCGTACCCAACTGTAACCACCAGGTCATGGGTAGGTCTGGGTGCCCCTTTCCGAAGGCGGGGTTGATTATGGGCAGGCAAATTTGTTTTTTCTGGAGATGACGAGTAGGCACAATTAGTATTTATGAAGATCACGGGCAGGTAGGGCCAGCCAAACATAAAACTAAAACCGGTACGGACAGGAACGGGGGGTAGACAAAAAAAATGGGGGGGGGGTACGGGCGGGTAGAGGATCCACTTGGGTAACCGTGGTTCACTACCCCTTGTATTCCCACCTGCCCCCCTCCCAGCCCTTCCCCTCCCGCCCTTTCCCACCATCTGAAGTCGTGGGCCCTTTTTTTTTTTTTTTTGCAGTTGCTGCATGGGTTGCATATGCTACTGCAATACTTGCATTGACATTATTTTCGCAGTTGCTACAGGGGTTGCATATACTGCTGCGGCTGCAGATGCACCACATCTGCAGATGCACCACAAATGCACCACATCTGCTGCAGTTGTTCCATTGACATCATTTCTGCAGTTGCTGGAGGGGTTGCATCTGCTGCTGCAGCAGCGGATGCACCACATCTGACTATCGCTGCAATTGTGACAACAGCTTCAGCCTGCAATAACTATTACTGCTGGACCTCGACCACAACCCGAAGGTTGTGAGGGGAGTTAGAGTCGGTTGGGGGGTTTTAGGGGTGGTTAGAACAGTTAGGAGCAGTTAGGGGCAGTTAGGGGAGGGTGGGTAACAGGTGCAGGCGGTTAAGGGTAGGTGCATACAATTGTGGGTAGGTGGGGACGAGTACGGCTGAACACGGGTAAGGAAAATTTCGGTTGGGTATGGTACGGGTGGTTAAGACACGGTTTGGGTTCAGTTATTCATGGTTGGTTAAAAAAAAAAAAAAAAACAAGGGCGGGTACGGGCAGTTACAGTTTGCAGAGGTT